GACCTGTTTGTACCATCAGTGGTACAAGCCCCAGAAGCACACAGTCGTGTGTCCCACCGGTGTTTCAAGCCAATGGGAACATGTCAAACTATTAAACTACTATTCATTTAGAACTTATGAATCCCAAATTCACAACAGAATTACCAAGGGCTGAAAGAGGACGGCTCACAAATGTAATGGATAGATCCCTAGCACAGAGAGCTACAGAGGTCAAGGCGGAAATACGCTGACAGCTGACAGTGTTCAAGTTTGTAGGTTTTCCATTTATCAGAGCTGATTAAAGAAGAACCACAGATAGCTTCTGGTTCTTGACAACATAAATTACCCTCTCTGCAGACAACTGGACAGTCAGGTCAGGGGAAGATCTTGTCGTGGCAGCCACTCAGGAGGTGATAAATGTAAACAGCTGCTGGATTCCAGAATTTGGACAAGGGAGTGTATATTTGCACTCTTCTGCAACTTCAGATTTATCAGTTTTCAAGAGGAAAGTGAGTCAGGGGAAATGTCACCATCTGGAACTTCCCTCAATGGCATATAATAGGAAAACAATCACTGCTACAGTCTAGAAGCCACCACAATTTCTAGAGTAAAAGGATACGTTTGACAACACCAAGGAAGAGCATATACAAGGGGTGATCAAAATAGGTGGTGAATGTTTAAACTTTAAAAATGACAGTAAAAGAAACACTGCCACTAATCCTCCTCAGAATACTCACTTCAAACTCACTTATCCCATGAGTCTTGCCACTTTTTAAAGAAGTTCTGGAAGTGTACTTTCCTAGGTGCCTTTACAGGGTAGTATCAAAAACACAAGTGAATATCACACCAAGTACCACCCAACAGAAAGGCTCATAAAAACATTACACCGTGTTCTCATCCACCTTACTTACCAGATCTAATGCTGTACAACTTCTGGCTCTTCCCAACATCAAAATGCCCACAAAAGGTAAATGAGGCTTTGTGGTGGTGCACACCTGTAATCCCAGCACTTGGGAGGCTGAGGCAGGAGGATCATTGTGAATTCAAGCCCAGCCCAAACTACATAGGGAGACCCTGTCTCAGGAAAAAAAGAAAGAAAGAAAGAAAAAGAAAGAGAGAGAGAGAGAGAGAGAGAGAGAGAGAGAGAGAGAGAGAGAGAGAGAGAGAGAGAGAGAGAGAGAGAGAGAGAGAGAGAGAGAGAGAGAGAGAGAGAGAGAGAGAGAGAGAGAGAGAGAGAGAGAGAGAGAGAGAGAGAGAGAGAGAGAGAGAGAGAGAGAGAGAGAGAGAGAGAGAGAGAGAGAGAGAGAGAGAGAGAGAGAGAGAGAGAGAGAGAGAGAGAGAGAGAGAGAGAGAGAGAGAGAGAGAGAGAGAGAGAGAGAGAGAGAGAGAGAGAGAGAGAGAGAGAGAGAGAGAGAGAGAGAGAGAGAGAGAGAGAGAGAGAGAGAGAGAGAGAGAGAGAGAGAGAGAGAGAGAGAGAGAGAGAGAGAGAGAAGGAAGGAAGGAAGGGAAGAAAAGAAAAGAAAAGAAAAGAAAAGAGGAAGGAAGGAAGGAAGGAAGGAAGGAAGGAAGGAAGGAGCTAAATGTTTTGAATTGATTTAGGACATCAGAGCAGCCACAACAGTGCAACTAAAAACACTTGAGAAAAAAAAGACTTCCAGAACTGCTTCAGAAAGTGGCAATAATGATGAGATAAATGTGCTCAGAGTGAAGGGAAGTATTTTGAGGGAGATTAACAGTAGTGTGTCTTTTACTGTAATAAATTTTTTAAAAATTAAATATTCATTATAGTTTTCCATCATACCACACATGACAACTTACTAAGGGAAAAGAACATTCTAGGAAATGTCTGTTTGTATCCTTAATAGGATGTGCAGACACAGGCCATCAAGCAGTGACCCATAAGACAAGAATGTCAGAAAACCAAAAATTGGAGAATTTTTAAATACTATTGGAGGCAGGAAAGCAAAATTGACTGTGGTGATAAATCAGGAATTTGTAGGGTGAATACCAGCTCTTTTTCAGGCAATTTCATTGCCTCCCCATGAATAGCTGTAATTACAGCTCAGCTTTCTCAAAACAAATTCACCTTTATTACCTCTATCTTCACTGTGCTGCGCTGTAGTTCATTTAGTGTCTGTCTCTGTCCTAGACTGTAAGTGTCTTCAAGGAGCACCCATGAATTCCCTTTGTTAGAATTTGGATCTGACATGTTCCCCAAGGCCTGCATGCTAAGGTCTTGGTCCTCAACCCTGGCAAGACTAGGTGAGGACAGAGCTTTAAGAGGTGGGGCCAAGTAGGAAGAAGTGAGAGCCTTGGTGATGTGCCCTTGCAGGGGCCTCAGGATTTTCGTCACCCAAAAGAAAAGCCAATGAACACACCCAACACCACCACCATACTCTCCGGCCAGTGAGCATTGAGTATGAGCTTCCCAACGGAGGAAATGAGATCTCACAGTCAACCTGGCTTACTTGTTTTTGTTTTTTAAAATCAGTATGGAAAACTCAGTTTGACCACATCATAGAACATAGTGCTAAAGTCTGGGATATAGGGAGAGTTAATGGGTATGGGATGAAAAAAAGTTTTAAAGGAAAGCAAGGCTTAGAGGAGAGCCACGAGGGTGGTATCGGGAAAACAGTAAAATAATGAAGTACAGAGAGTATTGAAGGAAGTTACAATTAAGTGAGGAAATGTCCCTCATCTAAGGTCACTCACTCTAGAGTCAACAGTTCAGAATACTTATATTTATTGCTTTTTATCACAAGATCACTTTCCCTTATTCCCTTACTTCTCCTCTTTTGCTTCTCCTTTTATTTCTTTCCCATTTTCATTTTTAAAAATCTTTATCATGCTTTGGATTTGCCAGGGACATCAACATTTAGCGTCAGTTGATTTAACAGATAAATTTCAAATTCTTTGTCTTACAAATAGAAGCCATCCCTCAGGAAACTCCAAAGTGATCAAAGCAGGCCTTCCAGGCTTTCAGAGTGAGCTCACCATACTGGTCACATCCCACCAGCTGGAACGCAGTCACAGGACCACCAACAGCAAAGGCGTCCAGCCATGGCGACGATAGGTCAAGAACAGGTTTGAACAGCATGCCTTCCTCTGCCGCCAGCCCCAAGTCACCCCCGCAACAGAGAGCCAAGATCTACAGCATCACGAGCACCCTTCTCCTTACTTTCTCCATACTGAAACAATCAGATGGAATTGGGAGTACCCTATTTTGTAACCTCGGGTCACATCCTTGTTAAAATAAACCAAGGTTGGGCCTACTTCTGCCTCAAAGCCCTCCGTGCTATGGCGCATTACTCTCCAATTTAAAATGCTGAAGTGAGATTATAGTCTGCCTTGTGATTACACTTAAAAGATCACACAGCTGCCACATCTTCAATTCAGTTCATCCTTTGAGATATTTTTCAAGTGACGATGGATTTTCAGAGTGATGGATTTATGCTACTTCTCCAGAATTCTTTTCCATTTTTAATGTGCAGCTTCGCTCTGAACAGATCACTGCAGCCGCCTGCACAGGAATAGAGAGCATGGCTGCTGCTGTCTCATTAGTTGCTGATACACACTAAAACAAACGAGCGTTTCAAGTGCTCTTTAGACTGCACACTGTTAAGACATTTTAGAAAGTTTCATTTCATCTTTCCTGCCTTTTGAACTGTGGAGACATCCATGAGGTATGTCCACTTACAAATAGCTAAGTAACTGTTCAAGAAACGTTGGTTAAAAAATATCCGTGTCTGTTATCCTCAGCACCAGCTAAGGCGCTATATAATTTTATCACCAGTATTTAATTGCTGTGGATACTGGAAGCACAGAGAGGTTAATCAACTTGACTCACAAGTTGAGCAACGAAGAAAATGAAACAGGTTGGCCTACTAAGAAGTGAAAGTCTCCGGTAATTTCCCCAAGGTTCAAGTCCATAGGTTCTATTTATTGTTCTGTTTTTGCCATAGACTATTCCTTATTCTTCAAAACATTTTAAACCGAGGCTTTCCTGGCCTATCCTATTGCTTCCCTGAAACCTCCTTATACTTTAAGTGAAAATATTGAGTTTGTAAATCTTAAGAGCACCTACCGTTTCACTAAAAACGCCTTGGTGCTTAAAGCATGAGGTAAAAACATGTTTCCCAAAATAAACCTGTAATTTATTTATGCAAAGAAATCCCTTAACTTCCTCTAAGAGAAAAGGCATGAGTTCTAGATATATATTTAAGACATTAAAGAAATACCCATTTCCAATTTATTTTGGGGGGTACTGGGGATCAGACTCAGGACTTTGTGCTTGTGAGGCACCAGAGCTAAATCCCTTATGACACTCCATGTCCAATTTTTAAAATATTTAACCTAGTACCTTCTGTCAGATTTCTAGTACCAACAAAAAAACCACAAAGATTTTTTTAAAGCTTTTGAAATATTGTAATTTTAAATGTTACTCCCTGAAAGAATTCATGTAAGAGTCAAAGCAAGTTAACTTCAAACTTTCGGAAATAAAATATATTGATTTTTTTCTTCATCCATTTAGCTTCCTCTGAATCTGTGAAAACTTGAAAGAGGATAAAAGCAAAAATCGAATTGGTCACCAGAACTTGTAGGTCTACACTATCTAGCCATCTATCATTTCAAGCCAAAGAAAAAGTCATTTGTCTCGTGGCCCAGACACTGTATCCATCACACAGAAAAGATAGTTCGGAAAGATGACTCTTTTGTGTCTGCTGCCCAAGCATTAAAGCCTCTAGAGAACCCGAGGCTGAATTCCTGAGGTTCTTTGTCAAGCTATGCTTGAGGCAGTCTCCTAGCAGGTGCTCAAGAAAGATGTGTTGGAAACGCCAAGGTGTTTAGACAACAGGGCAGTAAGAGTTCGGAGTTCTCCGGACCATTTCGGCAAGGGTCTCTGCAGGTCGAGCGCTAGGCTCAGCCCCGCACGTTAGAGGGGGAAAGGGCAGGCGAACGCGCCTCCCCGAGCTTCCTTCCGCGCCTGGGCGGAGGCCCCACCGGTCCAGCACCTGCAATTTCCGCCCTCCTCCTACCCGTTCGGCGCGCGGCGTGGGAGGACGACGCCCCTCAAGCCTAGCCTCGAGGAGTTGCAGGTCAGAGCTCTAGGTTTTAAATCACTGCGCTAGGAAGTCTCCGAGCGACCCCCAGAACGAGTCAGAGCGCTCGAGATTTGCCTCCCAAGACCCCCGCAGCCCCCAGTCTACGAGGAAGCCACCTCGCCCCCATCCGAGCGCCCCGGGCTCGCTATAGATCGTGAAGCCGCGGCGTCCCTCGGACACCCGCGGACCGGACACCGCTCGGGTATCTGAGCCTCCAAAGGTCCAAGG